CCATTGGGTCATCTTCTTGATCCAGAAACCATGGGAATATGGCTATGGGTGGTGCCAGAGAAATTCAAAGACAGTACAGGAAGAGAGTTCACAGTTGTTCTGATGGATTCTGAAGGCATCGATGCAGTTTCCAGCAAACAATCTGATGATCACAGGATCTTCACTTTGTTAGTTCTGTTGTCATCTATCATGATTTATAACTCTGCTGGTGTGCCAAACAGATCTGATCTTGAAGGATTGGAGTATCCTTGCTTACATTCATTTGTTAGAGGCTTTTAAAAGAGAGAAATGTGTGTTTAACGTAAGCTAGTGTAACTATACAATTGACATGGAAACGATCAGACGTAGCAATGGAAATGAACGTATGGTCTTTCCGACACTAGTGCAACGCTCCTACGTCGAAATTCTTTGATACAAATTCACGAATTTTTTTTTTCACGTAACAGTTTTACAATTGCCTTTTGAAAATGCACCGTAGCAACGCCCCGGCAAAACCATTTAATGCAGGATAGTAACGTCTTGAGAACATTGATTAGAACTGGAAGGACTTCAGCTTTTGTGTCCAGGAAGACCAGTCACTGGGAGAGGAAAACTGCCTGCCTGAAAGAACACTTTTGTTTATGAATCGGTCACAAGCCAGTGATACTTCTCCATAAGTTTGATATCATTTCTTTGCCATTAGAGATCAATGTTATTGCACTTTAACTTGTAATTCAGCTTCATTGTCAAATTGTCCGACCGCATACAGCTGCACACCAAACAGCAGCCCACCGATGATCAGCATTTCTATGAAGCCTTTCCTTACTTTGTCTGGCTGTTGAGAGATGTGATGCTTTATCCTCCTACAGGATGCAAGACGTTCAAAGATTACTTTATAAAATATGTAAGGCCCGGCTCAGACGTCCATCTTTTGTTGCGACGAATCAAATTGCTTGAGTTGAGTTTATGAACATTTCGTACTCTGAATTCATTTACATTTAGGTAGATTTTGCTAAGGTATGCTGACCCAAACAATCCGTAAAAACCAATTAACTTTGACCGAAAACTTCTCGTGAACTACCTTCAAGCAATAAGATTAGAGGCGGCAAAATATATCGACAAAAATCTGAACCAGGCCTAATCAATCAAACTTATGCGGCATTATATTACACAGTTATGCCACAACAACTGCTAGAGTTCATTATAACGACTTTTAGCAATAAGGTGCAAAGTATTGAGAGCTACTGGTTTTCCGAAACCTCTCCCTTCTTTTAAAACAAGTTCCAAAACATGACAATATGAAAGACTGTTGTCATTGGTTGATGATTAGTTTCATTTAATTGGTTTTTAAGCTTCTCAACTGCGAAGCTGAAGGGAACACCGAGAAAGCTAGGAAGACCGCTGAGAGCATTTTGAAGTATTTCTCTGGATTTGATGCCTTTTCACTTCCTCCTCCTGCTTATGATCCAAAGGTAAGCTGATTAAAATAGTCATCTATAAACATTGGTTCTATTGATTGATCGAACGAATTAGTGAGTGAGTCGATGGTCACTGATTGCATCCGTTAATCCAGGTTATAAGAAATCTCAACGACGAGAAAGTCAAGTCTCAAGTAAACCCAGCATTTCTTAAGGAAACTGAAGACTTTAAAGCTGTCCTTCACTCGAAGCTGTCGCCCAAGAAGTCGATCAACAAAGGAGAGTTCGTCACTGGCGAAGGTAAAGGGGGATTTACGAAAACAAATCACGAAATATTTCTGCTTATATTATTATTATCTTTCAGCGTTAGCAGCTCTGATCCAACTGTTCGTAGAGGCACTCAACACCCCTGGTGCTATACCCAACGTACAAAACGCCTGGGACACATTTGTACAAACCAAATGCAGCGAGGTCTTAGCTGATGCTTTGAAGGTATACGAAAAGGAAATGACGTCACTCGTCGCGAACAAAATTCCTTGTGAAGCCGATTTGTTACGATCTGCGCATGACAACGCCATGCAAAAGTGCCTTGAAATGTTCCGCAACGAGACCTTCTCATTTTCGATCAAAAGTGTCGACAAGTACTTGAAGAAACTGACGGTAAGTAACGGAGCGCTTTCCAACTATCTGAATCATAACTAACCATTTTTTAAAATCGTATAATTACATTAGGAGAAAACAGACTCCATCCTAACATCATGGCTCGACAAAAACAGAAGAGAAACCGAAACGTTTTGCACTAAGCTTATCAAAGAACTCAAGCGAACCATCCTTGACCCAGTCTTTGCCCGACTCCGTAGTCAAGAAGGATCCAAGATGCAGTTCTGTGACATTGTTGCTGCTTACAATGAAATCCAGCAAAAGTATTCCAGCAACGCTCGTGGTGCTAAGGATGTCCAGGCATCGGTGTTTATGAACTTCCATCCGGTAAGTGAAGCCGGATTATTGTTTGTTTTAACGTTTCACAATAATCATGCCAA